TGGCTCAGTCACGCTTGTTTTCTGTTTCTGAGCTGCAGGCAGGCTCCTGACTTCTTCAGCCATCTGAAAGTCATTGATTAAAAAAGTTGTCCCACTTTGACAACAATTGCCATCTTATTACTTGCAACTCGGTCCGCATGTTGTAAGAAATATATCAAATTTGCAATGCCTTTCTGGTCCCTCTTTGTTCTGGTCAGCCTGGCGCACATCACATTACATTATTAGTGACCGCCTTATTCCTTGATCAGGGAATCAATGAGTGTGCCACTGCAATGTACAAGATAGCATCATTATATAAGCAACATGTTATTCCTCTCAGGATCGTCAGCAATGCTCGGTGAGCTTGCACTGATGAGCGTCTAAACCCGTATACCCGCGCCACGTGGAAGGAGCTTGCTCACGCACCATTGAACTGACATCCGCGTGGCAGAGATGCCGGCTACAGCACCTGGCGCCGTGCCCCGGGAACCAGAACGTGACGATTGGAGAGAGGTTGGGGACGGACGGACCACAGGAGAGATGGTGAGCGCCGGGACGGACTACACGGGTCGGACCTGCACAGGAGACACAGACAGACCACATATGTATATAACGGACAGAAGTAGAACACATGAGGCATATTTATATAGGACAGACCACAGAAGACAAGACGGGCCACAGCTCAGAAGAAGCAGAACAAACCACATGAATGAGACGCAGGGCTACGGCAGGAGGCATGCGACGGACCACAAACAAAACTGGAAACCAGACAACTAGCTAATAGCTTTCCTGGGTAGACATTTTGTTTCGTGACCATTGCCAAATGTAAGCTGGGCGTCAGCGTTCATTGAGGGCTGTGCCGTGACATCGGCCTTTGTCGCGTACCGGTAAGCGTGAGCACGACCTCAGCGGTCCTAATCACAAGGACACGTTTTTAGCTGGCTTTCGCACTCCGTCGGAAATGCCGATGGGTGACTTCTCCTGGGTATAGGTACCTAAGCCACGGGTTTACAGCTAGCCTTCTTTTGTTAAAAAAAAAACTGTTCATTGTGTAATGTATACATGCGGCTCTGTACCAACTGACTAATTAGGTGCTGTTTTGACGTTTTATTTTGCATGGATGTTTTAACAGATTGGGCGCGTATACGTCACCGACTAAGGGCTCTTTCCCACTATAAGCTCAAAAGTATTTAGTGTTAATTTTAGGGTCAAATTATAGTTCATTTGTAGGGACTTGACGAGAGCATACAATACCATAAAGATGTCGCAAAAGCTTTGGTATACAAATTATTTATTAGGTCAACTAGCATGAAAAATGCGTGGTATAATACAAATTGTTTCATAAGCGATTCGCATTATTGGAAGTCGGAATGGTGGTGCCGTCTACCGCTATTGTTATTTAGATCCTTCGATACTATTCGCCAATCGTTTTCTATGTGTTGTCAATTTCATGCAATAAATGTAATGCGTAAGAATCAGACAAAAGATCTTTACATAAGCCATAAACGAACAATGAATTGTGGCATAAGTAACGCAAAAACTTTTTGCGTTACTTATGGGTAAACTAGGGTCAAGCACCTACCTTACCTTTATTTGCACTTTCGTAGATATTGGTCGCAAGAAACGGTTATGAAATAACAACAAATTCCATCTGCATTCTGTATTCTGCAACATAGGTGCATGCTCAGTGTCACTGTTATATGTTGTTAGAAGGAAAAGTACACAAACCGTATTTTCGAGCTATTATTGCCATCCGTTGGCCATACACTTGAAATGATGTCAAATCAGCCGACAAATTGCAATAAGATCGTTCAGCGAGTTATCGATCGCTTTCTCCGAGCCCTCACCTATGATTGCCTGGTCACTGTATGATATGCTGCATCGTAAACACAAGAGGAACTGAGGGATTTTTTTTAACCATATCCTATCTGCCTACTTGCCTAGCCATTTCACAGCGATCACAAAACCAGTCAGGTCTTCCACCTTCTCGCTGATCACATGGGGAGACTGAGGCAGTCGTGCTGCCATCTATGTGAAGTGTACGGCGTCACCTACAGGCAGCTGCGACCAACTAGCGTGGCTGGATATCATGTCGGTGGTGTAGGTCACGAAGACGTGTGTAATCGGTAAACACCTACGCTGCAGCTGAATGCTATGGCATTTTCATGGGCTCCTTTTTCCTGTATGCAGATTGTTGGATGTGCATGGTGTGGATATGAGATAGTGGATCTGAGATCTAATCACAAGGATGACGGTCTCAGGTGAGATGTGATCACAGCTCCGCTCTTTCACTTTATCGAAAGGCCATTGGGATCACAGAGTATACACACTTTTTTATTGTATTCTGGGATTATGAATACACCGACACCATTCAGTTTTAGTATACGGATAATCTTTTTTTGTTTGACTGATTTTTTCGCAGCAGATGGCTCGATCATTGTCTCCACATACCTTATTTTTTGTTTTACATACACATTTAATGATTAATCCTGAGGTATATGTAATCGATTTTCGTCAACACATCACCGACATGTAACTAATTTTCACCTTCAAGAAACACTTGCTACGATTTGCAGTGTCTGGTTTTCTGTGATCACGTCCAGTTTTTTTTTTTTAACACTAGCTCTTATGGAACCATCGGACCATTTCAGATAATCAGATAAGCAGATAAGCATTACTGTCGATCAGATCAGATCAGATAAGCATTACTGTCGTCCGCTTGGTATATTACGTACTCCATTAATGCTTTCTCGTAACTACCTGAAGAACAGTTATATATATATATTAATAGATACATATGCATCTTACAACTTTTAAGCATTACGCTGTATTCAAGTTTACCTTAATACTAAATTTAGAAACCCATCTATGGTGCCATATTTCAAAGTATCACAAGAAGTAGCAGTTTGGTGATGCATGAAAGATCTCGTGGTGCGCTCACTGTGGTTTTCTGTGAAAGATCTCGGGCAATTTGTTTCTGGATTTTGGCATCAGAACGATTTAGAAGAACTAAAGCATGTTCTAAATTATGAATTTCCTAAGCTCATGACAATATCTACAACTTAATGGGCAAAATCGGAACGATGGCGGAATGATTCAACAAAATTGAGCGAGCAGGTTTGCACGAAACAGACAGCGTAACCCAACCACCGGAAAAAAATCTGTCCGGTGCCCACTCCAGACTCAACGGCTGATTATGCGGAGATGCCACTGCCATGCACTGACCACTAATAAATATTATATTCAGGAGGCAAGTTCCCAAGCGGCTTTAACCCGGCAGTTGCTGGGGTATTTCGCCACCCACCGTTTGCTGGGGGGGGGGGGGCGTTAAACGCCCCCAGCCGATAACTCGAGAACCAATAGGCGCAGCGAAACGCACGAGGCGGCAAACGAAAGAACGCGACGAGACGCTTCAGATGAGTACTTTAAAGTTGAATTTTGAGGTCACAGGTCGGGTCAAGGTCAGGTCAAACACCTGAAATCGGGCTTTCAGTAGCGTGGACTTCAGGACTTCGCAATGGGCGCCTCTCGTCATAAACTCTGTCAAAATGGTGCACAATCCATCATATAAGGCCTACAAGAGTGTCTGCTCATGTAGGGGTCAGTCAAGCATAGGTCAGCAGGGTCAAGGTCAGGTCAACCCGGTAGGCACATATCCTCGAAAATCAAAACTGATATTCGCAGCCTGTGACACATGTTTTATGGGTAATTTGGGGCGTAGAACACGATGGTAACATTCATTTTATCATATGTGTACGTGTTTGGCTAAAAAAGTTCAATTTAAGAAATGCAGGTATCATGGTCGTGAAGTAGTCACGAGAAAATGCCAAGATTCAGTTCCAGATTTTGGAAAATGCGGAGCGATAATCAATAATCGAAGATAGCCATTTGATTGTTCATGGTATTGGCAGTCTAATGGCGTTTACGGCATGTCTGTATGTCTGATTTGTGATTTTATATGATTTTTTGAACATATGCCGTTTTTGGTCGAAAAGTCAGAAATCGTGACGTCACTAAAACCTCGATATCTCGAAAAAATTTCCGACCGATTTTTTTGAAACTTTGTCACAATAAACTTCAATCAATTCCCTACAGGTACCTAAAATTTGGCGCGCCTGCAGCGCGCCGTTTTTATGCTATGGCCCGGCGAAAAAAGTGGGGGCGTTTAACGCCCCGGCCCCCAGCAACTCGAGGGTTAAATGAGCGTTTACTCAGTCGTGTCAGTGAAGCAGGACAAACTGGCAGCTATTCTTGCTCTCCGATTATGCACAGCAGAAGGTATTCAAACAAATTGTAATACCATGCATATGCCCCGCTACTATGCACATACATACGAGTATTGTGCGATGTAGGTACATGTTTATTCACTCAGAGGTAAAATGATTATTGGCGGGACAGACAGCTCACATGTTGGTCGTGTGTGTGGGGAACGCGTCTGATTGACTGCTTCATGGTCATTTTTCATTGTTCCTGCTCATCTAAATATTAGCCGTTTTCACGACGGGCTATCCGGCGAGTGCACCTGATTTGACCAAATCTGCACCTAATCTCTTTTACAGCAAATATCTTCATTTTATGAATTAATTTCAGTGTTTTAATCGATGATGCTCTCTGATATTACGACAAAGCAGGCATATAAGCAATTAGTGTTACCCTAGCTGATAGCTACTAAGAGACACACTGAACCTGATTTGACCAAATCTGCACCTGATCTGCACCAGACGTGCACCAAATGTGTACCAGATGGCCGTCGTGAAAACGGCTATTGTCGGCTTTCCTATATCCATTTACAGCGCCGGCAACAGCCATAAACAGCGCCAGCGGCAGCACCATCCACCAGCATATTTCTTTTCCTATCATCCGACAAAACTCTCTCATCCCTGTCACGCTGTCGTGTGCTCACCGTCGTGGCCGGTCCTCTATAGACGGCGCCCGAACTTCAAGGCCCTCTCCGGAGATAAAGGTCAACGGCCGGCCGACCACCGCCGGCGGCACAGTTACAGCGTTACGTCTCTCGGCCTGGGTTCAGACAGGGCCAGCGAGCGTGGTGGTTGTGGCGGCGGCTGGCTGGCACTCTTCGCACGCCCGGCTGTGGATTGGCTGTGTGAGGTGCCTGTGAAGCTTACTTGTGGCAGTGGAATTGACGGCGATGAAGATTTCCTGTTAAAAAAAAACGCGACAGCGTGTTTGTGAATTGTTTCTTGCGATAGGTCGCTTAGTTGTCTAATCAAGTGGAAGCTGATACATCATCAGCTCAAGAAGAGTAGGTACATCTTAGTTGAAAAGGTAAGATGGTGCGAGATGGTGGCGTCTATTGTTTGCTTATTGTGGCTAGCGGCTAGAAAAAAGTTTGAAACGAATGCCGACATCTCTTAGTTGAACATCTTTTAACCCATTAACCCGCGCCGTGCTGGTGGCCTGAACTTTCCGCCGAGTGCTGGGGGGGGGGGGGGGCGTTTTCACGCCCCCCCGTCTAACTCGGCTCCTGGGCCACGTAGCGACACGCGGTAAGCGGCAATCGAAAGAGCGTCAAAAATAAAGACGAAAACACTTCGGTCATTTTTTGGGTCAGGTCAAAGGTCAGGTCACCAGAGGTCACCAAAGGTAAAATGTTGACTATTTCAACATTTTGGAAACTGCCAACGGCTATCTCGGGAACCGATAGAGCTACAGCGCCGCGGAAAAGCGCATTCGATAGCCCTTTTACAGACCTTTCTGAGTAATGTTCTCAGATTTGACCTCAGGTCAACGGTTTAGCCTCCAGAGGGCAAAAACTCCAAAAATAGCCGTTTTTACGAAAAACGTTTTTTCGTCAATAACTTTTGACTCATAAGCGCCATGACATTACTTTTGCCAGCATCATGTTCCTCTCGTCGAGACGCGTCGAATGAACTATTCGTTGACCTTGAAAGGTCATTTTGAAAATTTGACCTCAGGTCAAGGTCATGACCTGACCGAAAAGGGTCATGTTGCATATCAGTCGATCCGTATCGTCGAGCTGAACACATCTGACGTGTTTTCACCGCTCTAGCACGTCTCTATCAAAAGTTATAGCCAAAAAACTGCTGGCGACCGTTCATGACCTGAGATGACCTCAGGGGCACACAGAGGGGTCACAGGTGCATTTTTCCTATTCAGTGTGTCATGTTTACCTATGAACCGATGTTTGAGAGCGTTTTGAACGATATTCGTCCAAAAGAGGCGCATTTCAATTTTCTCCCATTGACTTATAATGGAGAGGTCGCAAAATTGACCTGACCTTAGGTCACAGATATCAAAAATCCGAGATATACATTTTATACATACTGTTACTCATATCAATCGCTGAAAGTTTCAAAGTGATCGTTCAGTCGGTGTAGCTATAGCGAGCCTTTGAACTTTTTCTGAGGTAAGGTCACTTGACGTGACCTGGTGACCTGACCTTGAACGGCCTAGGTCTGAAATTTTCACAACATGTGCGGAAATGATGTAGGAACACGTGTACCAAAAACGGCGGCGCTGCGCGCCGCCGTTTTTGAGATATTCGCGAAAAACCTGAGGGGGGGGGCGTAAAAACGCCCCCCCCCCCAGCACGGCGCGGGTTAACGCCCGTAATTCCCCAGCGAACGCACACGAATGCCCATTTGCCGATTTAGAGGTAATGGTCCCCTAAGGGTACCATATGAGTTTGGTAAATGTGCGAAATCTAGAAATATCCTTTTTTGAAGTGGTACCTTTTGGTACCACTGGGCGTTAATGACATCATTTTTTCGCAAAAACATGCATTTTAGCAGCATACAAGATATGTTTGCCAAGAAGACCTTGCAGCTCATTCGTGAAAATTAGAATATTAGACGACATACTGATCGGCAACATTATGGCAAACGCTCGCCGCTGATGTTTATCAAGTTGTCTGATTATGACGTCATTACTGCATGCTATGCATAATTGCCATAAACGTCAATGCTATTATTCACCTGGTGGTGGGTCAATCTAGTGAAGAACTGTACTGTTTCAAGCAAGGCTGCGGAGTCGATGGATTTTCAGTGACTGACTCTGACTCCAATTCAGACTTTGACATTTCAACTCTGACTCCGACTCAGACTCCAGGCATGATTCTCGACTCCGACCGACTCTAACTCCTACTCCATCTCCGCAGTCCTGGCATGTCTGCGGAGTCGCGGGATTTTCGGCGACTCGAACTCCAGCTCCGGCTTCCACAATCGACTCCGACTCTGACTCCGACTTCAGTTAGACATATCGACTCCGACCGACTCCCGACTCCGATTTTGCAGCCCAAGTTTCACGGCTTGTAGGGTTGTTTATTTTCCTAAGATGCACAAATATATTTATACAAATGACAAAACTAACGGTTTTCCTAAAGCTATTGCCAGCACCCACTCTACAATCTGTGTTAAAATGTCTCAAAATTATGAAAATATACATGTAGCCCATCGTTCAAGATCCAGCACAGTCTGTAGTTACAGTTCATGCACTGCAAGACACGCGCTATACCTACCAAATCTAATCCAGCAACCAACGAGCCAGATCTCCAAAATGGACTTCAGCCGGATGGTGCAGTGCTGCTTGCGCTGAGGCACACGTTACAGCAGTCAACACGTCATGTTTCTAGGCTCTAGCCGTTATACTTCTCCATGTACGTCTCCGGGCAGAGCGCCACGCGCCACTTGCCACAGATGACTCTAGTGACAGCCACGTAAGTACAATGCATACGTCTTCATGGCGGAGCCTACTCTAATCCAGTGTCTGCATCAGTCGCGGCGTATGCAGCATTATCAAGTGTACGTACCAAGCAGCAGGTCTGCAGGAACTCATCTGTCACTACAATCCGCATCAATATTTCCTCCGTATAGGTACTACCGCACAAACTGCACTGGGATGTGACGTCGTTACCCACATCTTCCTGAATAACAGCAACAGCCTTCCTAAACAACAGGATGATCTCAAAACCGTGCCCCTTCCCCTCCCCCAAGCAATATTCATTTAGGGCCTTGACCATATATCTGCTCCGCAGGGGTACCCGCAATAATACCAGCGATTATAGGGCAAACATCCTATCCAACATCAATGCGTCACGTCAGCGGTGAATGACCAGGCAGCAATGAATGCACTAGTTTCAAGCGGCGAGGGCGACGAAGGCACTTCCCTCTTCGACCTCTTTTTAGATTTCATTCGCCGTAAACTGCACACCGTCTCTGAGAAACGTTACACGAACGACTCTCAGCCTACACAGGCGACCCTTTTCGCATAGAGACGCCACCATGGGTTTCATAACCCGCGCACCGACGGGGGGGGGCGGATATCCGCCCCCCCCTGAGGTTTTTCGCGGATAGCGGGAAAACCGCGGCGCGTAGCGCCGCGAAATTTGGTATGACTATTCTCTCATCAATTTTACACATGGTGTGCAAGTTTGAACCTCCTAACTTTTAAGGTCAGGTCACCAGGTCACTTTGAATGACCCAACCTCAAGTCACTTTTTTGCAACTTTGTCACCGTGCCAGAGCTACAGTAGATGTCGGAGGCCTTTGAAAGTCGCAGGATGTTATTAGGTCATTAGTAGCTACAATTTGTATATCTCGGAATTTTGATGTCGGTGACCTAAGGTCAGGTCAATTTCGCGACCTCCCCATTATAAGTCAATGGGGGAAAAATCAACTCCCTGTTTTTACCACTAAAACGGGTCGGAATGGCCCCATATACCATACATGACTTCACATACGATCAACCTTCACTACCTTGAGGTCTGTTTTGCTGTTGGGCAGCTGTAAGGTCATGTGACGTCATCAAAGGTCACCAAAGGTTTTTTGCCAATAACTCCTTACAGGAACAAGATACAGCCGCGCGGATGGTCTCATTGTGTTCAGCTCGTCAAGACGCATCGAATGATATACATGATGACCTCGAGGTCACGTGACCTGAGGTCATCCTTTGACCTTGACCTTTCGAGGTCAACATATATATCATTCGATGCGGATTGACGAGAGGATCACGATGATGCCCTTAGTTTGTTCCTATCTTGACTACTTCGAAAGTTATTCGAGAAAAACCCTCTCCATATCTAGCGCCGCCATTTTGACTTTTTCGACCCCTGTGACGTCATCTTTGACCTGACCTGAAAATGACCTTAGTAAAAATTGTAGACCTTGTCCGTGCGTATCCGATGCCGTTTACCGCTTGTCGCTATCTTGCTTCGTTCTCGAGATCTCAGGGGGGGGCGGTCATCCGCCCCCCCCCGTCGGTACTAAGTTGGCGCAGACCCCCGTCGGTGCGCGGGATAATAGGCCCTCTTTCGCCCCTCTTTCGCATGTGGGCGAAAGAGGGGCGCCTCTTTAGACCTAGCAGGCGCCCCTCGTTCCCACTGAGACGCCCCTATGGTCTTCACAAGCGCACCTCTTTCTATAGGCCTCAAGGGCGTTCATCTTTGGGATGCAATGGCCAAGCTTTCGTATGGAAGTTCGACTTTGACCTTTATAGGCGCCCCTTTTGCATGGCGGCGCCCCTTTTGCATGTTGGTGCCCCTACATATACTATGGGCCTCATGGACATCAGAGGCTTCACGGTGCTCCTCTTTCGCATGCATTGCTCCTATGGGCATCAAAGTCGCTCCTATGGACATCCTCATTTGCATTGAAGCGCCCCTATGAACTTTATAGGCGCCCCTGTTTTGCGTATGGGGGCCCCTATGGCCTCATAGGCGCCCCTCTTACGCACCCAATTTCTTTAGGCGATAGCGTCCCCTTGAGGGATGGCGCCCCAAATGGCAATTTGTCCGCATCACTCCGTTGAGCAATGCATTGCTACGCGTCTGCACAGACCGCACACGCATGAAATTGCGAAAAAAACGCTTAGCCTAACGCCCAGTGGTACCAAAAGGTACCAACAATAATTCTGTCCCTAGGAACGCCAGGATTCATGACCAAACATCGGATTTTGTGCTTAATTGCAGCTGCGAGTTCTTCATCTTTATTGTAAACACACTTTGGCTAGAAAAATATTAACAGACAAGCAAATACAAACGTTTCCTTCTCCCCACGTCAGCCATTGACTGTGTCGCCCCAAAACACTCCTCGCTTTTCTGCACCTCACACGAAGTTCTTCTTAGCAGCACGTTATTTTTACCAACAGCATATCCGGAAAGGAGACGATTATCCAATAACAGAACCTATCTGCCGAAAAAACGTACGGTCTCAACGCAGCAAGCCAAAATGTGCGTTGGTACCTTTTGGTACCGCTGGGCGTTAATGGGTGAGCTCACTGTGACTATATACGCTACCTTAGCGTGCATTGCAGTATTTATAAGGTTAGGAGACATTCTGAAGAATCGGTTTCCGATTATGTTTTGAAGGTAAAGCTCAAGGTCATGGTCAAAATTGACCTGAAATTTTGCGCTTCGGGGTAGGCATTTTTTTATCATTCCAGAATGCTTGGAAATGTTTCCAAGCTTATCATGGGCCCCGAATACAGTTCATAGGTTAAAGGTCATTCGGATCAGGGTAATGAATGTTTTTGTGTAGGTATATGTATGTTAAATTGATCAACTCGAGGGTATTGAAAAGTTCGCCGCGATCGACCAGCTTTTTGCGCGAGTTAGGGGAAGTTGGGGCAATGCCGGAGTTGGGGCAAAGCCGAAATTCGAGATATTTCGAAAACCGTAAGACATGGATGCCACCTGTCAGTGATGCTCTGAAGCTTAAGTGACTACAATTATCGCATGTTTGTTACGAGTCGTCATTCGGAATACTTCGGCTGTGAGGGCGCCAAGAGCGTTTTCAAGGTACGCGTTCCTTGTACTACATGCGCCTTTGACGCTGCATTTCTTACTCATTATGCTACCGTTTGTCTGGCCAATTCGGTCAAGTAATCTTCAGCATGTCTTTGCATAAGTGTGCTGCCTATTTGAAATTTATACGGCACGTTGAAAAGTTATGGGCCTGCAAATGAAAGCATGGCTGGCTGGGGTAATGCCGAAAACGTGCAATTACGCACGTTAAAGCACGCTACGTGGACTTTACTGCTGTAGAATAGCAACGCGAATTTTTAGTCACACAAATTACACTTTCAACCGACACAACGGCCTGTTACCTATAAGAAATTATTATTTATTTACCTGGCATTTTCTTATTATATCACACAATTATAACTTCCAGTGTGCAACAAGCGTCCTCAAGCTCTTAAAACGCGTGTCAGCTTTGATAAATTCTGGATAAAGTTTGAGATAAAGTGGCAAAACATCAATGTCGGCATTCCCCGTAGATCATTTCTCCCATTTTCGGCTTTCCCCGCAGTCCGAGGCAACGCCGAAAAAGTCACTTCTTTGATATTTTTAGTTTGTGCGCTTAACGGTATGCGAATTCATCAAATGCGCCTGGTATGTTTGAAAGGCAAAAGACTGGCCTCTCGAATGACGCCAACAAGAATAGCTTATGTTGTCTACCTTGGGTGCTACGGGCGTCAGAAAAAAAGTATTCGGCGTTCCCCCAACTTCCCCTATTCGAGAAAAGACCGAAGGGTCTCTAGTCAAGTGGTACCAGTTTAACCCTCCCACTAAGTAACAGCGGGGGTAAAGATGGGGTGATTGCTGCACATGTCCGGTTCGATTTTCAGTCTCGGACGGTTCAATATTACAAGTTACAACGGATACCAGTCATATGGTCTGGTGACGGAGCACACGCTCACTTATATGTTCTGGCTTTTTCCGATGAATCCCTAGCTCAGTAACGAGCGAAAGGCAAGGCAGCCGTAACTCGCACCCACCCCTCGTCCCTCTGCTGGGATGTAAATAAAGGTATGCAGAAAACCGACAGGTTCGATGAGAGTTGTCGTTGTGTGTTCTGTTACCTTCAGACGCCCACCCTCTGCCATTCCAGGACCGGGTAACTACCAACCATGAGACGTGCCCAGTGGCGAGCTGTGCGTCTGCTAACAGTCGGCCTGACGGTCGGACTGCTGTTCATTGTTGCAGCACAACTCAAAGTCGGCCGAGAACAGAGCGTCGATGACAGGTGAGTATTGATGGGATCCTACTAGGGTGATAGGGTGATATTCTGGCGACGCTAATATCCTACACTTCAGAGTAAAAATCACCATCAAGTGTCAATATGAGAGAGTTAAACGAAATACCTTGACTGTTTTAATCGCCAGTCGCCACACGGATGTCTGTATGTGCCTTTTGAATTCCATTGTTGAAATGTGCGTTACCCACTTGCACTGAGTTATAAGGACTACTACGTGATGTGCGCATTGCAACGATCAGCACGATCTCAGATGCATGGTTCCGATAACAAACATTTTACTGTTTTACGTGCAACAGCATAATCAAAAATACAAACGTTCGACGCATCGAAAAGCGCTTTAAAATCCAGTTGACTGGCATGCTGATTGCTGACACTTTGCAAAATTCCTTTTTCTACAGCGCGCTGGCTGAATCTATCAGAGCCCTGTCTGAGAAGGAAGTTCTCATCCAGCTGGAACACGTGCTGTCACCCTCCAGGGAGCTGGCCCAGTGCCGCTCCATCATCTACCCTGGTGGCAAGTGTCAGTGCGTGGACGCCTCGCCCAATGACGAGGAATCCTGCACGATGCTACCGATCCTGGACGGAAAGAAGACGGTCTGCCTGGACGACGGTCTTCTGCCCCCGGGAGGACCGTGCCTCGTCTACTCGTTCGGTATTCGCGACGACCTCTCGTTTGAGACCGAGATGGTGAGGTTCGGGTGTACGGTACACGCGTTTGACCCGACTGTGAGGCTCAACACGAGCGCTCTGCCTGATGGACTAAATGTCCACTACCTGGGCGTGGACGGACGCTCCTGGACGCACCACTCCGGCGGCATGGCCATGCAGCTGATGACGCTGACTGACCTGGTGCGCCACCTGGGCCACGAGGGTCGTCAGATCGACTACATCAAGCTGGACGCCGAGGGAAGCGAGTGGAGCATCCTGAACGAACAGCTAACCTCGCTGCACGGCGTGCTACCCCGGGTGCCGCAGCTGCATGTCGAGTTTCACCTGCTGTTCCCGCACGGAACGCTTAGCGCCGACCCCGGGAAAAAGTTCTCTCTGCAGCCGGACGACGCCGTCAGATTTCTGCACACCATCCGAAGGCTGGAAGCTGCAGGGTTTAGAATGTTTGAAAGTCGTCCGGACTTCGGGAAGCTAACTGGCACAGCTATTTCGCTTATCTACGAAACTACGTGGATCAGGAAGTGAGGCAGTTTAGGATTGGCAGCGCCATCTAGGACATCGGGTGAAGTCTCGCCCGCGCCCTCTAGTGCGGATGTTCGTAGGGTCCGAAGAGAATGATGGTGAACGGTGGACAGTGAGCAAAACCGCTATGATGGCTATCGGTGACTTACTTTCACAAAAAATGAGAGAATGTTAAATAACGAAGTAATTTTTCTGGTTTAAAACACGGCGTGGACTGTCTAATGGGTGATTTAACCCGCGCACCGACGGGGGGGGGGGGCGGATATCCGCCCCCCCCCCTGAGGGTTTTCGCGAATAGCGGGAAAACCGCGGCGCGTAGCGCCGCGAAATTTGGTATGACTATAAACTCATCAATTTTACACATGGTGTGCAAGTTTGAACCTCCTACCTTTTAAGGTCAGGTCACCAGGTCACTTTGAATGACCCAACCTCAAGTCACTTTTTTGCAACTTTGTCACCGTGCCAGAGCTACAGTAGATGTCGGAGGCCTTTGAAAGTCGGAGGATATTAGTAGGTCATTAGTAGCTACAATTTGTATATCTCGGAATTTTGATATCGGTGACCTAAGGTCAGGTCAATTTCGCGACATCCCCATTATACCTAAGTCAATGGGGGAAAAATCAACTCCCTGTTTTTACCACTAAAACGGGTCGGAATGGCCCCATATACCATACATGACTTCATATACGACCAACCTTCACTACCTTGAGGTCTGTTTTGCTGTTGGGCAGCTGTGAGGTCATGTGACGTCATCAAAGGTCACCAAAGGTTTTTGGCCAATAACTCCGTACAGGAACAAGATACAGACGCGTGGATGGTCTTATTGTGTTCAGCTCGTCAAGACGCATCGAATGATATACATGATGACCTCGAGGTCACGTGACCTGAGGTCAACCTTTGACCTTGACCTTTCGAGGTCAACATATATATCATTCGATGCGGATTGACGAGAGGATCACGATGATGCCCTTAGTTTGTTCCTATCTTGACTAATTCGAAAGTTATTCGAGAAAAACTCTCTCCATATCTAGCGCCGCCATTTTGACTTTTTCGACCCCTGTGACGTCATCTTTGACCTGACCTGAAAATGACCTTAGTAAAAATTGTAGATCTTGGCTGTGCGTATCCGATGCCGTTTACCGCTTGTCGCTAGCTTGCTTCGTTCTCGAGATCTCAGGGGGGGGGGGCGGTCATCCGCCCTCCCCCCCCCGTCGGTGCGAAGTTGGCGCAGACCCCCGTCGGTGCGCGGGTTAAGTTTTGTACCTATGGCTTACCCGACTCCCATGGAATCGAAGTCATTTATCGGCTCTAAACGGGTACCTAATGAATGCGTTGGACAGGGCATTTTAACCTACATGCATGCTGTGAATATATGCTCAGGACTTGCTGTTGTGGGATGGCATTCAGTCTCTCATTAAATCCAATACTCATCATGCAAGGTATGCACGTAAATTGCATAGGTAGCTGATACATTTTTTTTTTTTTTGCTGTGACAGTCATTGTCCATTTTGCATTTTGTGCATTTGTGCAATATAGATGCACGCTGCTGAGCTGTTTTGCGTTTGTGTGCTCTTATCTTCAGAACTCCGTATTCCTTAACCTTCCAGGCGGTGGGGGGGCATTTTTTGCCCCCCCCTTTAGTTTTTTTTTTCGATATATCTCGAGAACCGCTGCGCCGATCGTCACCAAACTTTCAGTACCTTCCCGTGAACAGCTATTGCACATTGTGACCAAAAATTTTTCCAAAAGCTATGATAGGCTGGCCGCTAATGACGTCAGAGTGACGTCATTTTTGCCATTTTCGACCCAAAAAAAGGTTTCGCGGGAAGAGCTGTCAGGCCTACAACTTTAGAGATACAGAAAAATATTTCAGACATAAGAGATGTAGAATTAGGAGGGCTACAAAACTGCTATCTCAGATTTTTGAAATTTTTGGATTTTGACCCCCATAAATCAAAAAATAGATTTTTTGAATAAAATAGCCGAAAAATCCAAAAAGTTTTTTGAATTTCGAAAAAAACGGAATACCTATATGTGATAGTCCCAACCCCGTTCTATCTAAATACCAAATTTGAGATCGATACCCTTTTTTTGCCCAAGTTATTGCGAAAAAACTGTTCAAAATTGATGACGTCAAATTTTCAAACTCAATTGTTTGCCATTCTAGACCTCGTAGCGCAAAACAAAGACCACCATTAGACTCCCCGTGACGAGCTGCATCGAATCAATACCCATTTTATGCAAAAATATCAACTTTGAAATTTGACCTTTTTTGACCTAACCCTGACCTGACCTCCACCAGAAAGTGACCTAAACCGTACCTGATGGTCTTATAACCAACACCATTGAGTTGGAAATGAAAAACTGGCCATAAAATATGCATCGTACAACCTTAGTAAAGTTGGGTTCAGGTGGTGACCCTTGGTGACCTTTGGTGACCTGACCTGTGACCTGACCTGGTATGACCAGTGACCTCTAATAGCAACATATGCACTAGACAACTGACACCCTATCGCTGATTTTCGACAAAATGCGTTTTACTCGGTGTTATAGCGCTTTCCCTAGAAGCCCCGTGAACGGTGAAACATTTCATCTTTGACCTGACCTGTGACCAGACTTGTGATCAGCTCAGTTGAGCCGGCTCAAAAATCAGCTCAGCTCATGAGCCGGCTCAACATTTTGCTAAATTGTTGAGCTGTGAGCTGAGCCGGCTCAGTAATGCATTGAGCTGAGCTGCTGTCTGAGCTGAGCTGAATGAGCTTGAGCTGAGCTGAGCTGAATGAGCTTGAGCTGAGCTGAGCTGAGCTGAGCTGATTGAGCTGAGCTGAGCTGATTGAGCTGAGCTGAGCTGAGCTGAGCTGATTGAGCTGAGCTGAGCTGAGCTGATTGAGCTGAGCTGAGCTGAGCTGAGCTGAGCGAGCTGAGCTGAGCTGATTGACCTGAGCTGATTTAGCTGAGCTGAGCTGATCCAGTTCTAGTAGGTACACTGGAAGATGATGAGAACGGATAAAAATATAAAACCGAATGCAATGTGCATTGAATATTGATACACTATAAACACTAGAAACATGATAAACTGGAAATAATATTATAATACAAACCAAAGACGTCACTAGGTGAAAGGCCATGTAGTTCGACACCGCAAACTGAAGCGATCGGTCGGGAAATCGCTACATTCCTCTATTGCACCCCGTTCGCACCGTTTTAAGCCGTTCGGTTGGTATTCTTATCCACTGCGGCGTGATGTCCCGACCTGTGTCCCGATGATTCGATGTCCATGACCAATCAGCACACGCATTGCCGTGACGTCATTGGCCGGACCCCGACACGTTACGGAGATATGGGTGGCATTCGGCATTCGGCAATGGGTGGCATTGAATTTAACTGAGCGGAAACTGAGTTGAGCTGAATTGAGCGGAAACTGAGCTGAGCTGAACGGGAACTAAGTTGAGCTGAGCTTAGCTGAGCGGAAACTGAGCTGAGCTGAACTGAGCTGAGCGGAAACTGAGCTGAGCTGAGCGGAAACTGAACTGAGCTGAGCGGAGACTGAGCTGAGCTGAGCGGAAACTGAGCTGAGCTGAGCGGAAACTGAGCTGAGCTGAGCTGAGCGGAAACTGAGCTGAGCTGAGCGGAAACTGAGCTGAGCTGAGCTGAGCGTGAGCGGAGCGCAGCCGGTTTGAGCGGAACGTGAGCTGAGCTGAGCCGCGTTAAACTGAGCGGGAGCTGAGCGGGAGCGGATAAGACGGAGTTGAGCTGAGCGAGCTCACTTTTTTCTTGAGCTGTCACAAGTCTGCCTGTGACGTCATCGGTGACCCCGAAATCAATGAAATTTGGTTTTTTTCAAAAACAAATTTAACAGGGCTATCGAACGCCGTTTGAATTTTCCTGATCCGTCCAGTAGTTTCGGAGATACGGGGGGGGGGCAAAAAATGCCCCCCACCGCGCGGAAGGTGGCCGGGAGGCCCACCGCCTGCCGGGTTTTAACCCTCGCCGGCACAGGCCATTTTGCGTCCTTCGACGGCACAAGGGGGTTGGTACGACCCCCCCCCCCCTCGCGTTTGCCCCTGATCGAGCTAGAGCTTTGAGGGAAAAAACGAGCGTGTTGCCCGTCACGAGAGGAAGCCGATGATACCCAATTTTAAGGTCCTAGGTCATCGGGTGACCTTCCAGGTCAGGTCAATGACCCGAAAATCGGGAAAATCGGGACCTGTTAGAAAGTCGTAAAGTGTGGCTGCTATGGGTTTTTCGGGGTGCTGATCACGAATATCATGTTAGTTTTGATCACTGATCAGAAATGATGTCTTTAAGCATCTGATCGTGATCATTGCACAGATCACAGATCACAGTCGGTGCGTGGGTTAAATTCAGCTTAGCTATGCGACTGTCTGTATGCATCGGTGAATGATTTAGTCAAGTCTCACACAGGCGACGGGTATAACTTCTCAAATCTCAATCCTACCGCACGCCACATACGTATGCATAATACATTGATATGGTATTGGCATATGTTTATGTTTGCGAGGTGTTCCATTTATTGATATGCAGCTGAACCATCTTATGGCCAAGATTTCATGTTGTATTCTCGTTCTTGCGTACAATTACCGACTCAGACACGACTGTAACAGAACGTACTTATAGAGCGCTTGATAAGAGCAGTCGGTTCCTAACCGTCCAAAGCTACTCCGTCTGACAGTATTTCGGCGGCGCCCCTTCCCTTCCTCCACCCCACTCCGCCACTTTGAGCTATTCTACCCAGAGTCCGCAATCTCTCGCAAATCAGCCCCCTTGGTTCGCAAGCTGGCGGTTTTAATTAATATCCGGCACGCCGATTCCAAATGAAATACATATATCATTGCCGGTTGTTTACCCGCGCTATTTCCATAATCTCCGGGGTGGACGGCTCCCCAGCAGTGGTAGAGTGGTGTAGTGGTGGAAGAGAGCGGAACCATTGGTGGAGGTGGTGCTGGTGGTGATAGTGATGGTGTTGTGTGATGGAACCATTGGTGATAACTGTACAGTGTACACTGTATAATTATCTCTCGCCGGCAGAGGGGGCGGCGGGTGCCGCCCCCCCCCCCTAGCATTTTTTTTTCGCGATAGCTCCAAACACGCTGGCGATAGAGAGCTGAAACTTGGCATACCTGACCTTTGATTCAAGACGGATCTTTTGATACCAGCCGCATTTTCAGGTCAGGTCAGGTCACTGACCTATGACGTCATAAGTGAACCTCTGCACGGTCTTCTGATGTCGCAACTTCGCAACGCCCTCACTGCCAGAGGAGCTTTCACAGGGAAATGAAGCTTGTAGGATCTAATATCCATTACGAGTCTCACAACTTGTATATCTCGGATTTTTCCTAAAGGTTATATGAGGTCAGGTTATGTTCGTGACCTCACCATTATAAGTCAATGGGGAAAAATTAAAACTGCTATTCTGGCGCCGGGAACGATCTCCATTCTCCAAACTATCTCAAGCACACAGAATCGTGATTTGGTGCACTCCTTGCAAGGTTAGATGCGTCACTTTTGCAATGTTGACCTTGCGTGGCGTCATTTATGACGTCATTATGGTCATACTAGTTTTTCGTCAATAACTCCCGATCAAATTGAGCTAACGAGTCGGGAAAGCCACCAATGGACTCGAGAACACCTGCCGAATCGAATACTATGCGACATGACCTACTTCGACCAATAAAATCTGATAATTTCAAAGATCAGTTACCCACAAAAGCAACTTTGAATCCAAAACTGGTAACTTCCACGATGAACCTTATTTGACCAAATCTGCACTAAGGTGCACCAAATGTGTACCAAATAGCCGTCGTGAAAACGGCTATTTTCGAGCATATGGAAGTTTTTGGTGTTGTTTGTAGGTACTGTGTAGGTAGAGGTTTGTTTGGTTTGGTTGTTGACAGTGCGTGCTCGATGTAGGTTCTTACATGCAATGATATATCGTAATGTCAGGGGCAATGGGTCACTATACGCACCTACTTATACATGTGTGCGTGCTCATGTGTATGTAATTATGCAGGATGCGATGGCCTGACGCACCTGTGCGTTCGCTCAGCTACTAATTGATCCGCAACGGCTTGGAACAGGAAGCGATATTACTGAGCTAAGCAGGATGTTTGTCGCAGGTTGGTATTGGTATTGCGGCACAACACTCATTCGGAGCCTGACATCCGTACTGCATTGACGGTGCTGTGGTAATGAGGCTATCAATATGTCCATAGATTAAAATCAATATGATGGTGTAGCTTTGAAGTTAAATTGTTAAAGCGGTACCCTATTCTAAAATACAAAATATCACTGCGCCACCTTTTGAAAAATGGAAGTGTGTGTAAGCCTCAACTGATCAAAACTGAAGAAAAATGCACCTTACATGCTTATCTATCTGCACTCGCCCCGTCCTCCCCTCGGAGTCAGTTCAGACACTGTCCTTGTGTAGAGTGTATTTTG